ACCTGATCCAATCACCGGCCCCGGTTGGGCCTGGAGCAGTGTGAGTGCAGGCCAGCAGGGGACTGGGAAAGGGTGGGGGGGGGGGGGCAATCATTCTTCAGCATGGCACGGGGCAACTGGGCCTAGTGTGAGTGCGCTTTTAAGATCTGTTGTTGTTTTTTAAGAGCTTAATTCATTTTTTTTACTACTGTCAAGCCGGGGATTGTTTTCTTTTAAAACAGCTGTTATAAGAAAGTATGAACATTTTGACAGCCTTGATGCCGAGCAGATGGATGGGATTTTTTTTTGCAGCTTAAATAAACGGACCAAGGTTGCCTCTGTCTGGTGATTGCAGAGAAAAGCATGTTAAGTGTGTTGCAATTCAGCTGGAGTGGAACTATCTTGCAGGTGTTACTCAGTTTTCTTTAATTAAAGGTCATAAACTGTACAAAATACACTTCACCATGTTTCTCTAACACTAATATGTGTCTCTAGTCTGTCTACAAACCCCCCAATGATGAGGAAAGTCCATCCTCTTCGTCTTTAGCCTGCTCCACTTTTCAGAAAATGTGTGCTCAAACAGGCCGTTTGAAGATTTTCCCTTCATGACATCACAAAGGGCAGTAACCCCTCCCCCAGGTGGGTGACACTCCCACAGCTAGGTGTTTGTTCTGCCCTCTGAGTCTGCCTTCTCACCGTAAACAATAGGACATGGAGCAAGAAAGCACCGAGCACCCGAGCCCTTCCAGAGAGGAGGTGTGGTCAGACACAGCTCATTTACATATTTAAAGGTACAGACACAGAAACAGCCTGTTCTGAGCAGGGCTGAAATAGAGGGGTTTATAGGCATGATCAAATACAGGATCGAATACAGGAAGAAACTTCAAGGACATGTTTTGAGGAGCTCTGAGACTTATTTAAACTGGTTGAAGTGGAGAAAGTATGGCTGTTGTGTCTGCATTCGGGTCCTGTTACGTGTTGCAGCATAAGAACTGTGAAAGAATCGGAAAGTGAATTTAGCTTTGTGTCTGTTTGGCCACAAGACCTGATAAAGCCTCATTGTTATCGAGCTCGTTCACACAGCAGGTAATTATGATTATGCCTGGATTTAGATAAAGTATGGAACCTTTTTGACCTTTGTCATGTAAGAAAATGGCTCTAAAAATGTGTAGCCGCCCCCTCACTCTGACATCTCCATTAGTGCATGTCCATAGGATCCTGTGTGTGTACCAAGAGTGTAAAAGTAATTTCCCCTCGTTTGAGAAATAAAGGATATCTTCTTCTTCTAAAATCGCCAGAACAAACGTGAAGCAGCGTAGATTTTGGTATTTTGTACTTGCCCAGAAGCGTTCAGACATCCAATCATCTGACTGTGTTTTGGGTCAACACTGCACGGCCCCGTCAGCGTTTTGAGTTCTCGCCGGATTCTCCTCTTGATTCACGGCCATCTCCACAGCAGCCAGGTAGGATTTAGAAAATAAAAGGATAAGTGAGCAGCTGAGAGGTATCGAGTGGTGATGAGCAGCTTTCAGCCTGCAGCTGCCAAGTCTCTGGCATCGCATCATGCAGCGTGCTTTGGCAGACAGTTTTGGCAACAAGCTTATTCTTTTTTTTTTTCATCTTCCAGGCTGCTGAGATGACAATGTGAGCGATGGGTGTAGGTGTTGAGGTCACAGCAGTGGTATCAGTTTGCTGAAGGTAGGATTGGCCTTCAGTTAAACACAGATGTTAGCCAGATAGCTCTGTGTGCTGCCAATAAAAGAGGGGTAAATGTGTGATTTCACTCAACCAGCCTCTGGAGCGTCGGTGTGTAAAACCTGCTGTGAATCCTGCAGCAGAGATCGGCTTACCTGGCCGATTAGAGACACACATTTAGGTTAAAACTGAGCTATAATGAGGGGCGCTGGTGGCGCAGTGATTAGTGCGCACGCCCCATGTATTGAGGCTTTGCTCTTCCAGGTTCAAATCCCGCTTGTGGCTACCTTCCTGCATATAATTCCCCTCTCTCTCACTCCCTGATTTCCAACTCTATCCACTGTCCCATCTCTCCATTAAAGGCCCAAAAAGCCCAAAAATAAATCTTAAAAAAATTAAGAATGAAATGAAAAGGGGCGAGATTTAAGAGAAAATATCGCTGCAGTTTGAAGGTTCTAAACTTTTGAAGCCATCTTTGGTGTCAGATGGATTTATTGATTTGTTTGGATCAAACCTGAGACATAACTCGGGTTAGACGACTTCCTGCAGCCGGTAAAGCTGCTTAACATGAGACAACGATGACACCGCTAACAGTACAGGCTAACAACATGACACCGCTAAGGATATGTGCTAACTTTACGTCTCAGTCTGCTCTGAATAATATCTGCAGGGATGAACACTCTGCTTCTCGCTCGCTCACTCTCTCTCTTTTTCTCTTCTTAGCTTCATCCGTCACCGTCCTCTTCCTCTTAGCCTGAGCCGTCGTATCAAACAGTACAGAGCCGAGCTAACTGGTTGCTTTGTACCTGGACGCTACTGTGTGAGGCTTTCCATGGCAAAGAAAAACATTTTTTTAATGATTTTAGTGATCGCCTGATAAATCAAATTGTATTTCTAAATCATCAAAATTACCATAATGATGTGAAATACTCTCTCTGCAGACGTTCATAATCAAAAAAGGACGCAGCTGTAAAATCAAACTGTTGCTGTGTCTGTTCATGGTTCAGTACACACACACACACACACACACACACACACACACACACACACACACACACACACACACACACACACGTTCATGTTTCACTTGGCGCTCTGACTCAGATGAACAGCTTAACCTGTGTAAAAGTCGCTCCTGTGTTTCCTTTCATCTTCGTCTTCTGAGGCGTGAACCCGACGGCTGAGAGACTGACACAGCAGCAGCAAGAACCAATCAGCTCCCTCCGCTGTCAGCGCTGTCCAATCAGCGGCTCCCATACTCAGGCTTTCATGTATTACACTGAGTGTCTGACATGGGTTCATACCGTCATATTTAGTCACAGGCCGTCATGCAGAATGGACTTGTTGTAATTCATGAGCACGGTGCAGATATACTTTATCGCTTATTCGGCTTATTTTTGTTGCATACTAATCATGTCGAGTGTGAGATATCAGCACAGACACACACTGCGTGCATTTAAAGAGAAATGGAGGCCAGACTCAGGAGTGGAGAAATTCTGGCCTGTAGGCTACAGACATGCTGAGAGTCTATAAACAGAGTAGAAAATCAGACACTCTTTTATCTTTTGTGGGAAAGTGTCGATTGTTTCCACTCCGTCGTTACCTCTGTGCCCTCTGCTGCAGAGTAAAATCTTCACAACATGAATCACAGTTTTTTTTGTACTTTTTACATTAGACCCTCTGTCTGCACCCTTTCTGTTTTTTCAGTTTATAGTTGGTTATTTATTGGCTGATGGTCCTTTTGCACCTTTAAGAGAAAGCTAAAGACCCAGCTCTTTATGAACACTTACAACCTTCATGACGATGATGAGATTTAGGATGGTGTTGATGCTGATTAGAATTCTTGAGAGAAGGCGTCGATGTTGATTATGTATAATCCTGTGCTCTGCCCCTGGTCACTTCCTGTCAGCACCTGTGTGTCCAATCAGACTTAGCGCTGTTTGTTTGCACTTCCTGTGAACCAGACCTGTTTCAGATTCTGTGAAATGCAATGCATGTGCAATATAGTGTGAGGTGCTTTCACTCTTACACAAACCTCCTCTAATTTCCCATCAATGTTACTCGTCTTTACCCAGAATTTTTCCTGCCAGCCCCCCAGGTAAGTTTTGCACGTGAGTCGAGGTTAGCCGACCACGGCAGGAAATATTCAGGGAAATAAACCCAGAGGGAGTGGGCACTCCAGCAATTTGATCCCCGTACATGTAATGAAACGGCTTCATTATTATTATCTTACAGCCTGTATGTTCTTCTCTGCTCCTTTGTTGATACCGGGAATATGTCGAACAACATGCAGCACTGATTTAAAGTCAAAAATCGTCATTGTCGTGCATACATGAACAACTAACCCGGGAAGGTTTCACGGGCAGCCTCTCGGAAATGTTCTAGACATCTTCAGGAGTGCATTTAGAAAATTGTGACGTAGAATAAAGAGCTGCAAACATGTAGTATTATTTGGATTTTACAGCATAGGAGGTTATCACTTGGTTCAAACAGAAACTGAACCTTCAGGTGGTCATCATGACTTTTCATCCTTAGTTTGTCTGTCTCTCGTCGAACAGAAAACAACACATGCAAAAAAAAAAAAAGGAGAGAAATGTATCAAAATTGAGCATGAGAGCATTTCATGAGTTCTGCTCGAGCCCCCTGCAGTACTCACAGTTCGCCACCAGGGGGAGACACCGCCCTGCATGTGAATGCTGACATTTGACTGAAGGCATTATGTAATCTTAGATTCCCCCCTCGGTGCTCTGCACAGTCACTCTGTGACCCCTTCACTGGCTGTCACATCCTCCCCGAGGCTCTGAGGGGGATTTGCATCCGTCAGGCGGAGACAGCAGAGACTCTTAAGCTTGTCAACAAAATAATAAATAAATAAAAACAAGTGATGAGTCTGTTTTCTGCTCGAGACACCTTGTGCCTCAAACTTGTGTCTGCTTATATTCAGCGTCAGAAAACTAGCGATCCTGCAGCAGAATCAGTATTTCTTTCCGTCTGATTGTGCACGTCTCTGAATATTGTTCATTATAAAGATTATTTATTAGAGAATACGCATCTAAGTTAGCATGATGACAACATGTCCTGGTGATGAAATTCAACAGGACATGAAGATGCCATAGAGGTCACTTTTAACCTACTTTTGACCTCCACATGAATCTTCCTTAAAGATGTATTTTTAATGTTTTTCTTGTGCTTGATTCTGACTGGAGGTAGCATATAGTAGCCACACCTTTTCCTTCCATTGCAAAAGATAGCCCCTACCTGGAGGATTGCTATGGCAACAGGTTGCCAGTAGCGACGGGGTGCCACTACATTCCTGCGTGCGCGCTTTCTGCGGGGATGAGCGGCGCGTCAGGACGAAGAGGAGGGAGGCAAAAAAATAAAACACACACACAAGCGAGCTTCAAGACGGGGTGAGGTCTCTCTCAGTCAGCAAAGATAGAAAACTAACCACAGCGGAGGTTTTATTTTCTGGCATGAAGTGAGGAGTCCGGCTGTGCACGAGGACGCGTCAGCTCGGTGTGTTTTGGTTTTTGTCTCTCTCTCTCCCGGTGAAGAAAAAACAAGACTCGTCAGATCTACCGGGGATGGAGAGCCAGCGCTGACGGAGATCCCCGAGCTCCCCTGATAACAACAGGTTAGTGTTTACAGACTCTGTCCCTCTCACCTGCACCGGCGGGGAGGCTGTTGTTGTCAAACCCGCACATGTTTCGTTGATTTTGTGCCGTGAAGGTGTGAAAGGTGCCGGAGAGGTAAAAAAAAAAACGTTTTGATGCATCCACGTGTGCGTCAAAGAGTCCCATCTGCGGCTCATTCACCGGCTCGCCACAATAACGCAGAGCAGACACCGTGATGCACACACACGGGCCGGTTTAGTGACACAGGTGGTGCAGAAGGTGCAGAACATTTGGGAGGTTTTTGACGTTGATTTTAATGGCGGCTCTTCGTTGCGCGCTGACTTGTTGTCGAAGATTCCTGCGCTGATGCTGCGGGTGTGTCTACCTTTGATCCCACTTGGATGCATCACAATTAATAACCAACACTGACTGAATCATTATGACGGCTCATATTCTTATGAGCCTTAATTTTCATTTGCATAAGATGCATATTTTTGCATGTACTTGTTCAGAATGGTGTCACAGTGTGGGCCCTTAAGAAGAAGTTACTGCGTGTTATTCCTCCCCTGATTGCATTTGCATAAAACATTTACTTCTTGTGAATTCATGGTAAATAATTCAATGAAATCAACTGTTAAAAAATGGACCTTAAAGGCTCACAGCTTTTTTTTTCTTGTGATAAATCATCCTCTTAGTTGAAAGGAGACTGACTTCTCACCTGTTCCTCCTCAAAGGAGTAAAAAGGAGAAACAGAAAAAAAACATATTTGGAAGACATGATGCCATCCAGCTAGAGAAACACAGTGAGAACACACGAGACGCAGGGTTTCTTCAGCTGTTCTCGAGGCGTCTCAGAGTTTTAGAGAGATATATTTGTGTCAAATCAATAACAAACAAACTACAGTTTGAACCACCTCGATTCAGTTTTCCTCTTTTCTTTGATAGACGTGAAGAAACCCCCGAGGAGACAAACAAACAAACACTGGTTTTGATCACAGACTCAGATTTCAATCAAGTTTTCTTCTCGTCTCTCCGTTATCTGGACGCTGATTCTGTTGCAGACGAGTGATTTTAGAGCGAGACAATAAAAGCATTTGAAGATTGGATGGGAGGGCTCTGCTGAGACGAGAGAGGAGCTGAAATTAAGCAGTTTAAGTGCTGCGTCTCACACTGATGTCTCGAGGAGGAAAGTCACGGACAGAAAATAAGGATCTCATTTGACATTTATCGTCCTCTGCATCGACTGTCATTTGTTTGAGTGCAGTTATTATAATTGTTGAAGCACAATTTCAACACTCTTGATCAGTTTAACAGAGTTTGGTGTTAAAAGGTTTGAATGTGTTCAAACAGACACCAACGGTGACAAATGAGTTTCAAAATGAAGTCTAAAAACTGTCGTAAAGTCGTAATTGTGTCATCGTTTTTACACACAATAATAACTCCATGGTGCTCATTCAACAGTCATCCTCACAGTTATTAAACGTAAAGGACAATCTTTATTTTAAACAAAGGACAACAAGCTGAGAATAAAGTCCAGTAATTCACGTGACCGGTATACGCTCCCGGTTCCTCGAGCTGTTTCTAAACTCTACAAAGCACTTTAAAGATCAACGTCATGGTTTCTTCTAGGCAATTTAGTCCTGTTGTAGTCAAGACCACAATAACCGAGACCAACACATCCAGAGACCAGAGCGCTCCAAGACTGAGACAAGACCAAGACATTTCGGGATCGAGACCAAGGAAAGACTAAGACTTAGGCAGGGAAAGATCGAGTCAAGACCAAGACCAAGACCATGAAGGCAGAGACAAGACTGAGACATTTAGGGATCGAGACCAAGGCAGGGTGAGACAGAGACAAGACCAGTACCATAAATATCGCTGGTGCAGGGGGCGTGTCACTCACTTAAACCGTAACACCGGGAAGGTTGCGGTCGTAAACCAAGGGATAAAAATCAAACTACAAATGAATTGAAGTTATTTTTTCTTCTAGAAAGAGGAGTTTTCGCTCTGATCACCGTGATGACGTGGAAAAATAGTCTATCAGTGGTGGTCTTAAAATCCAGACCGTCTGAGACCAAGACAAGACCGAGTAGAAATGCTTTTGAGTCTGAGACGAGACCTCCAAAAAGAGGAGAACAGACCGGACTCTTTGATATATTTTTAATCTTTGTTCATCTTGAATTCTAATGTTTGTCATCATAAAAGAGGGCTTTAAGGTCTCAATGAAACAGAAACATTTCACACCTCCTCTTGTTGAAACGTCCTCATCGTTAAATCAACTTTCTAACAAAATACGTCTCCTCTCTAAACGCGTCTCGATATCTTTTATCACACTTCTTTCTCCAGTTTAAGTCTCCTCTCTGCACCGTCACTGATCCCTGTCCTGAAATAACTCAAACATATCTGCTTGCTTTATTTTTGTCTTCTGGGCTGCACAAGCAATTATTCCCCCCTAACATTCATCTGCTGGTGAGTTTGATACACAAATAGATGAATAATTAGACTTTTTTTTTCTTTCTTTTTTAAAGGGAAGGAGATCTTGTTTTTAAAATGGGGAGGTGTTTTCTGTCTCTGAAGCCGTCATGAGAAGCTTAAATGTTTCTCAGCGTGAAGCCGTCAAGAAAAGCTCCAAACTCTGAGCCGCTCATCGTTAAGCTGCCGCTGCAGGTTTTTAAACGTTTGGAGTCTTTGACGTTTGCGCTACATGACCTGCAGCTTGATTTTCTGACCCAGCGTGCTAATCCACGCTAACCTGATGCCGTCCTGCAGCAGGATAGGAAGATGAGATCATGAAAAACAAACAAAACACAAATTTTTATAGTTTTTTTTGCAGGAAATGGCGATGAATCAGCGGTGTGAAAGATGTGTTTTTGAGTTTGATGGATTGCAGGACGTTGATTGAAGGCTGCTTCCGTGTCTGTGTCTCTCCTGAGATCGGCCTACAGATATTTCTTTTGCTCAGGCAGAAAGAGACGGTTCCCCTTTCCTGTCACTTCAAGCTGTCTTATATCATCCCCCCCCCGCCCCCCCCAGCGAACGTCAGTCTGTGTGACGGATCTTCACGCTTACAGGAGCGTAACAAAATGACACAACTTGTAGAAGATTAGAGTTTTGGTTATGCAAATATTTATCAGATTGAAACTGAAAACTCTAGTCAAGCCTTTCTGGCTCAGCCGGCAGAATGTTCTTATCATAGAAGAAGAAAAGCCGGGTCTTCTCTCTGCGACCTTTTGCCTGTCTTCATTATTAGAGAATAAAAATGTTCCCTTCCATAAAGAAACCTCCTCAGATCTGGTGACGCAGCAGCAGCAGCAGCAGCAGCAGCAGCAGCAGCAGCAGCAGCAGCAGCAGCAGCAGCATGGCCTCGATTGAGTCCAAGCAGCACAAGAAGCCGACCAATAAGAGTGCTGATGAACTGCATCGTACATATCAGTGTTTTTCTAAACTAATGAACGCATGTTATTGGGTTATATTTAATCATATGACACCAGAGAACATCTGGTAAAGGGAGCTGCCGATGATAATTTGCCTTTCAGCTAACTCATTTACAATCCGTCTGAATGTTGATTAATGTTCACTGTCTCTCTTCAACTCAATCAATAAAATAAAATCTGGACTCACATAGCTCAGTGTCACACAGTTATTAAACACCAACCCAAAGAACACATGAAGATTTGAGTACATGGACAATGATTAACTGATTGTTTTTATCACTTGGTTTAATGAAAAAGACATTTTTTAAATTTAAAGGATGATTCACGACTTTAAGAAGAAAAACTTGATCTGTCAGGCAAGGGGGGGGGGGGGGGGGGAGCTTTCTGGGGCCCAGGCACATTGGGGGACCCGTTGGGGTTAGGTAAAACATGGTCGCCCTAACTTTAAGCAATCATAAACACATGTTTTCAAACCTAAATTCTCACCATTACTCATTAACACAACAAAGAAACACAACTTATTCATTGTTGTATGTTTCAAAATGTAAACCCCTCCGCTTCTTAAAACGGTAGGAACTCTTTTATTTTTGGACGTTAAAGTTGGTGGCAAGCCCGTTGACTTAACTTTTAGGCCAGTAATGTCAGGCTGGGTGTAGCTACGCCAGGACCTGCACCAAGTCACATAAATCTCTTAAACAACTCCAGCCCTGCTCAAAAATATCCAATATTGAATAATTATCAGGAATTTAAACTTTTAAATGCCAGTTTGATTACATGATTCTGGCATTTAAAGGTTTAAATTCCTGATAATTATTCAGTATTGGATATTTTTGAGCAGGGATGGAGTTGTTTAAGAGATTTATGCAAAAAAAGTAGAAAAATTTATCAATCTGTTCTATTTTTATAGCAGTTTTTGTAAATTAGAAATTTTCGCCCTCCAATGTCCAAAAAGGGAACTACATTTTAAATCTGATGCTACACAAAAACTAACAATGCATCAAAGTCAATATTTTGGATAATCTTTGACATATCCAAGACTGATTTTAAAAAAATCCCCCAGCCACCAAATATTTGTTATATGGAAAATAACAACAGTGACATCAAGTAATCAAACCGGCATTTAAAGGGTTAAATTCCTAAAAATGATTGCATGTTTGGTAGTTTTGAGCAGGGCTGAAGTTGTTTCAGAGATGTATCCAGAAAAAAGTAGAAAAAAAATATCTATTGTTCTATTTTTATAGCAGTTTTTTGTAAGTGGACATTTTTGTCCTTAGTGACTTAAGAGGGGAGTAAACATGTTTCACAGCGTTCTATTGATCTATTAAAAAAATTTAAATGTGTATTCCAAAATTTGTCAAGAGAGTCTTTCTTACAAAAAATGGTGCCATATGCACTAACACAGACAAAAATGATGGCCAGATGAAGAGGTCAAATTTGACCAAATGGACAAAAAAGGGCGACATCTGTGGAGGGCCCGTTCACTTGGCCTTTCAGGGGCCCAGATATTTCTGCTGTCAGATAATATCAGATGATACATTTACAAAGTGTAAAACTCGTACGAGCGTGAAGAAGAATTAAAAGGTGTTCAAAACACAGAATTATGTTTTGTCCATTTTGTGGAATCCACCAGAGACAGTTAACAGTGATTTTGCTTTAGTGAAGACGGTCGCTTGAAGGACACGGGCAAGACGGAAGAACCAAGGGCACCTTCCAGACCTCCTGTCTTGTCCGTGTCCTTTTAGAAAATCCGGAGACCGTCAACACAAAAAGCAGAATCGTGTTAACTGTCTCAGAAAAAAAATGGACAAAACATCATCCAATCACAATAAACTCTCACACATCTTGCAGATTTCTCCCGCCAAAACAAACTGAATGGCTGCTCACTTAATCACTTCCAGCATTTGGTACATTCCCTTTCAGGCATGGATCTGTCATTTGTAAATTGAATTTATTTGGGGTCTGGTAAAAGTGGGCTGCACGGTGCCGCAGTGGTTAGTGCTGTCCCCTCACAGTGAGGAGGTTCCTGGTTTGAATCCCCGTCTGACAGGAGCCTCTCTGTGTGGAGTTTGCATGTGTGGGTTCTCTCCGGGTACTCCGGCTTCCTCCCACAGTCCAAAGACATGCTCGTTAGGTTAACTGCTGACATTTTCTTTCTAGAGTTTTGCATGTTAGTCTCTCTCTATATGTCAGCTCTGTGATTGGCTGGTGACCCGTCCAGGGTGTAACCCCGTCTCTCACCCAATGACAGCTGGGATCGGCTCCAGACCCCCCGACCCTGAACGGGAAAAGCGATATAGATAATGGATGGACTGTTGAAAGTGCCCTGCCAGCTGTTTATTTTTCTCAGCACTCGTAAAAAATGTTTCAGGCTAGAAGTGACCCAGAAGTGATTGAGCGAGTGGTCATTTATTTCACTTCTAGCGATGTTTTGTCCGTTTTGTTGAAACTCGAGCCGGATACGACGTAGTTTTTCTTTTCGTCTGGACCGTCTCTGAAGGACGTGGACCAGACAGAAGGCCCAGGGACACCTTCCAGATCTTCCGCCCCGTTTAATCAAGCTTTATGGTCAGAAAAAACAAGTAACGATGGCCCCTGTTAAAATAAAGAACATGACGGAAATGATAATGCCAGATTTGTGCAACCTCACTGCTAGGTCATCAGATTTGTGATTCAGCTCCTGTCATTAAAACAATTTCAACATTGACTTCTGGTCTTGCACAGGACATAATCCTTCATCATCATGCTGATGTTAGTCCTGTGTTTTGTTTGGCCCTGGTCCAGCCTTCCCTAACTACCTCCCTCTGCATCTCGTTATTGTGGCACTCTTTCAAAGACTTGCATAAAACCTCTCTATTTTAAGTGTATGCATATTTCCATATTTTGTAAAAGTTTAAAAACTGTCCTGGCTATTTCTTGAATCGTCCACACGTCCCGTACAGTGGAAAGTTTTCCCTCTCTGACGAGATGACAGACAAGCAGCAGAGTCGGACACTATAAGTGCTTTTCACACTTGCAGAAAACTCCTGAAAAACGTCCTGATATTTCCATGAGGAGCTGCATGTGTGAACGCTAACAGACACCTTTTTCCAAAGAAAACGGCTTATGATGACAGGTTTTGCATTTATGTGTGTCCTCACAACATTCCACTCGCTCGGGGTGTTTTGTCTTCATCAGCTCACCCCGACTCCAGGGGCTGGTGCGGAAAATTCAGGAGAAAGTCGAGGGTCAGAATTTGGATGTTTGCAATCACACATGCAGGTCACTGCAAAATTTGGTGGAAATCTTACTGGAGTTTAGTGTGTGTGTAAATAAGCCTTGTGATGTGATTCGTAGAAATGGCAGCATTGCCACCTTCCACCCAGGCTGCGTTGATGCGGGCTCAAGGTAGTGACAACGATGATACTACCAACCTGAACACATGGCCCCTTCTGGCCTCCACAGCTCGACCTTGTAAGATAACAGGCAGCAAGAGCCAGGACGTCCCCGGGGGTTGTCATGTGGGAACCTCCCTTCACTGGTCCCACAACACCTCAGGGAAGGCCGGACAGTGAGTTCCAGGGTCCCAGAGTCGCCTCCACCTCCTCCATGTCGGATCTAACCGCCCACCATACCCCCATGTAGAACTTCTTCTATATCTTACCTACCCTACCACATCGTCCTTTCAGCATTGCCAACTCTTCCTGGTGGCAACATTACACATTTACAGGAAAGAGAGAATAGGGAGACACTAAAGCGCCCGAGTCTGAAGAGAGATTTTAGAAAGAGGCTGTTTCTGGCCGACTCCATTTCCCTCCAGCTCTGTGTATAAAACAGACGATCCAATCAGAGGTCTTCTCCATTTCCAATCTATGTGTCCTCTTTTTGCCAGAAAGTAATCCACACAGAAAAAGCTGCAAGCTGCTCCTCCTGTTCAAACTCTGTTTTTTCCCCCCCGCCATTTTTGATGTAAAAAAAAAAAAAAAAAAAAGAAACCGATGTGAGATTGTTTTCCAGAGAAAATTGTCTCCGATGCAAATGAGTAACCCGAGCGAGTCAAGCTGACCAGCAAATTAACCTTCGCCACATGTCGGGTCTGTGTGCTTGCGGTGGGATGATAAGAGTGTCGCTCCCTTCCGAGCTGGTTACTCTTAAATCAGCGCCAACAAATACAGAGTTATTAATATGAGGTGTTTGTATGCATCATTAATGTAACCTTGTCTGAGAGGAGGAATTCATTTCCTCTCATGTCTGCAAATCTTTAACATCAAATCACACGCAGCCAGTGGATTGGTTAACATATGAATATCATTCATCTGTGAGCGAGTTGATGTTTTCTGAGCTGTGATTTAATGAAGCCGGTGACGTTTCTGCTATCAGATCGTTAGTCGCCTTCTCGCTTAACGTCCAAAACTGCCAATTCAAATCCCCCGAGCTGCAGGAATTCAAGGCCAAAGAAGTCCCTTGAGTCTTTTTTTTTTTTTTTACAGCTTTCGCCTGCGATTCCAAAAATAATCTCATCCGAGCGCCGCTTTCTTCTGGCTTTTGTTTTGTTCCTTTTGTCTTGAGATTTCAGACGTTTCTACGATTGCATTGATAATCTCATTCTGCTGTTTTCATCCATCAAACCACACAAACATCCCGTCTGTTTGGATTTCTCCGCAGGTCCCTGAAGTCCTCTTCATTCCATTTGCAAAATCTTGAAGCACCAGGACTGAGACCTGGAGCCGAGACGATCAAGCATGGATGTGCCCAGGATGGCAGAGGGCCTCTTCAGCAGCACGCTGTCCTCGTCGGGGGGCGGCCATCATGTGCCTTCCTACCTGACGCTGGAGCAGAAGGCCGCCTTCGTCTTCGTGCTGCTGCTCTTCATCTTCCTGGCGCTACTCATCGTGCGCTGCTTCCGCATCCTGCTGGACCCGTACCGCAGCATGCCGTCGTCCAACTGGACTGACCACACCGAGAAAGACACGTTCGATTACCGCATCGTTTGAGGAGAGGCGGTGTGGGGGGGGGATCAAAGACTGATCTGATGATTAAAATGCACTTTGACCCTCAGATCCAATGACTGCCGACTCACCAGGAAAATGAAGCTGTCAGAATCTCTTCTGAAGCGTCAAGACTCGTCAAAATGATCACCAACCATCAGCTTCTCCCTGCCAAATCAGAGAATTCTCAACTTCAGAACGACAACCAAAACTATGAAGATGAATCAATCAACCCACCGACGACCTCGACCCCCCGGTCATAGTTACCCATAATCCCCTTCCCCGGCCATCAGTTCTCTTGTGGACTACCTCGTACCTCCTCCATCTCATGTGCGGACGAGTTTTATCACACAGGGTCGAAAATATCCTTTCCACTCCAAGACGCTTGGATAAAAACAGAGTTTACATCTCGTCATGTTTACGTCCTTATATTTTCTATCGATAATGTAGACAATCAGTGTTTGACTTAGTTTGTGAAAAATAACAATCCGCAGAGTAAAACGTTGAGCTTGTTGAGGTCTTTTGTCTTTCTTGGTTTATAGACACGGGAGACTTTAAATGTGTAAAAAAAAAACGTTCAGGCAAAGATGAATTAAATGCCTTATGTCATTGTAAAATACTCCATGGCGGCAGTCGTTTCTTTCTAGACGGCGAGGTAAGAGCAGGTAAATAATCAGAAAAAGAAAGAAAAAAAAAAAAGCAGGAAACCAGGGTGGAAAAGTTCTCCCTTTAATGCTCTGGAAAGTTTGGGATGGATCGATGCCAGCAGCGAGTAACTTTAACCGTTGTGTGTGTGTGTGTGTGTGTGTGTGTGTGTGTGTGTGTGTGTGTGTGTGTGTGTGTCTGTGTGTGTGTGTGTGAGATTTAAAAAAAAAAAAAAAAAACTTGTCCTTTCGGTCTCCGAGGGGATCTGCGGTGTCCACGTCCTTAGATGTCAACAACCAAAAGAGTCACTGAAGAAAATACAAGTTTACTGTGCTGTACCTTGTGCCTAATTTGAGAAAAAAAAAAAAAAGTTTTCTGAAAAAGGAAAGAAAAATGGGTCCACCCTTCCGTCTTTAAATGTCGTTTTTTTTGTGTGTGTTTGGTGCCCATTTAAAAAAAAAAAAAACAGCATTTACTGCCTGCGGTTGGTATATTGACAGTTGGTATGCCCGATCTGCAGAGTTTTTGGTGATGAAGATGATGCATCTTCACATCGAACCCCTTTATGAACTGGTGTTGTGGCTCTTTCTTTGGGAACATTTTCAACTGTGCGCCTTATAGTGTAGATTGTTTACAGTATCGTAGGTAGCAGAGATGCCACTGAAGTGACTGTGTCTTTGCACTTCACGGAGATGTCATAGAAATCAAGAAAAAAGAAGAAGAAGAAGAAAGAAAAAAAAAGTCCCCTGCTCTTGTTCCTGCCGGGACAGGAAGTCAACTCTGATCCTTTCGATGAAAATGTGGCGTTCTTGTGATCTGCTGTGGCCTTTTCCTACCTATTGCAGATGTTGTGCCGAGGTGTGCTGTGTGTGTTTTTTTGTTTTGTTTTGTTTTGTTTTTTCAGCATGTATTTCTTGCAGAGTCTCGTCTCTGTGCATGATAAATGGTGAAGTGCTTTCATCCTGATGTCGTAGCTGTGGGTCAGTTGCTCAAGCAGCTATTTCCTGTCTGTAATGAAACCTTTTCGGTTCGATCTGTTTTTCTCGCCTGGAGCCTCTGTTCTGTTTTCTAATAAAAATGATCAGAGTGCACGCCCGCCTTTTAACTGTGTTTTATTCTCTGCATGAATAATGCTCGTGGATGGCACCCACTGGTTCAACGGCTGCCTTTTTTTTTTCAGTATGTTGGCGTCCTCATGTTGATTCTTTGGAGTTGCTGTGTTCCACAAAGTCCAAATCCGACGGCGTGTGCCCCGCCCCGCTGGCTCCTTTTCTCGAGCAGCCATGAGCGGCTGGACACGCGGGTTCATTAATATTGAGTTATTGGAGATTGACTCATTTTTGGAGCCGGCTCCAAGTGGCCACCGGAGGAACTGCAGCTTTTGTCACTTTCACATTTAGCCCCATAGTTTGGTCTTTTTGTTTTATCTCATTCGACGTCATTCCACTGCCACGTTTACCTGTCAGGTGTTTCTGTCAAACTAAATGGAAAAGAAAACCATTTCACAGAGGCGCCGTGCCCTTTTCATGGCGGCCATATTTGCTGGGGGCGCAATACATTCTTTTTCCTGTTTTATCAGCGTCTGGCAGCGGTTGCCAGCAGGTGTCTCGATTGGTTTTCTCAAGAAACACACACACACACACACAAACACACACACACACACAGCTCCAGGCCCAGGCTGCTCTTTGAGCCGAGACCCTCCAGAACAACATGCAGAATAACAATCTTGTCCCCGACATGACACTAAATGTGTTGATTTTGCAATCATCCGCTGCACGCCTGTTCTATAAAACCCCGTCACATTGCAGCAACACGTGAAAAGATTGACCTGCATGTTTTTGTTTGGAGGTGAATAAGTCTTAATAAATCTGCTGATTCACACATCTTCAGGTTTTTTATTTTTTATTCAGGGCGGGCAGGGGAGCTGAAGCAGATCAGAATTTAAAATGTGAGCTGATCCCACAGAGAAGAAGCTGAGCTTTTTGGATTATTATATAAGACACAACCTACGTCTTTATAGAAGCTCCCTCAGTGTTTGTTTATATTTTAACTCCTGTGAAGAACAGTTTTTTTTTAAAAAGCTGAATTTAAACTGCATTATTTTGCTCATTGCAGATTGCTGCTCTTGCTCTTTGCATGCTGGACGAAGGGGGAAAAATAGCTTATACTGGTTGTAGGAAACACATTTAAGGAGTTAAATGATATGGCCTTAAATGTAAACAACCTTTAAAGGTCACATATTATGTAAAATCCTCTTCACCATGTTTCTTTAACTCCAATATGTGTCTCAAGTCTGTCTACAAACCCCCCAATGATGAGAAAAGTCCATCCTCTCCGTCTTTAGCCTGCTCCACTTTTCAGAAAATGTGAGCTCAAACAGGCCGTTTGGAGATTTTCCCTTCATGACATCACAAAGGGACACTCCCACAGCTAGGTGTTTGTTCTGCCCTCTGAGTCTGCCTTCTCACTGTGAACAATAGGACATGGGGCGAGAAAGCCCGAGACACCCGAGCCCTTCCAGAGAGGGGGCGTGGTCAGACACAGCTCATTTACATTTAAAGGTACAGACAGAGAAACAGCCTGTTCTGAGCAGGGCTGAAATAGAGGGGTTTATAGGCATGATCAAAAACAGGATCAGAGTGGATTTAGAACAAGAAACTTCACAGACATGTTTTGAAGAGCTCTGAGACTTATTTAAACTGGTTGAAGAGGAGGAGAATATGTCACCTTTAAAGATTTTGTCCTGATGAAACCTTCTTCATATCCAAAAATACTTCTTCTTCTTTTCCTAAAGATGTTTGAAAGTGTGATCAATTTGTGCAATACCCGAGATAGAAACATATCACTCCAGAGTGAAAGCCTTCATTTTCAGCTTTCTGGAACCTCATTAGCTCGTGCCAAACAAAGATCATAATCCAATCTTAACACAATAAATGGCGGGCAGCAGCGGGGGAACATTAACCATTATGGATCAATATCACAGTCATGCTTTATGCAACATGATTCCTATTAAAAGAAAGCCGCTGATAATTGAATTATTTTCATTTTCTGCCGTGCACGCTCAGGCGCCTTAAGCTGAATTCATTCTTTTCCCTAACGGCCCATTTCACTATTCAGCCTCCGGTTAATTTAATGCTCTCTGAACAGCAGACTGCAAGGAACGGTTCCCCTGTGAATGTGAAGGGGCTGTGCAGGAGGATATAAGGGAGGGTCTGCTCTTATTCTATAAATGTTCTCTGCAGTGATTCCTCTTATTCCCAAGAGCGGGGGACGTTTACTATATTCTGTCACATATTTCACTGACGGATGGCCTGAGAGAAAGGGAACGTTGGCACCGCAGGAAGATGATTGCAAGCTTCATTAGAGCAATGCTGTTGGTCGCCACCTTTCAAAGCATGATTGGAGAGTTGAACTTCTTTTGGGGGGTACACACTTCAAGATAAACAACCCAACACTGCAATAAGGTACACTCATTTTGCATAATCACTGGGGAACCAATGAAGCTAATTCCAAGCCAATCATTAGTGATAATTTATTCATCCGTTTTATTTCATAGTTTCAGTCTTAACCCCTGAGGAGGCCATCCCGCAGTATGAGCAAGTCCTGCTTGTTGTGCATGGAGGAGGAGAAGGAACAAAGACTGCTGCATTCAAAAAGGGTTGGGGTTAACTGAAAAACAATACAGATACAGCAGCAATTGCAGAACTGCCTTGCAGCAGATACACAAAGCTATGATGCCACTGAGGGCCACTATGGGGAAGAAAGAGACTCTGGCCTCCTTCTGCTCGGAGGAAGCGCCTGTTAAAAAAGAAGATGGCCTTGAGGATGAAGTGGAAGAGATGAAAACAGCAGGCGAGCTTCTCAAAATGATGTGCATGGAGATTTGAAATTGTAGATACGAACAGAAGCAAGCTGACTGAAGCAGGAAGCTCAACAAACATAACCATGGTGACGACAGCAAATACCAAGCATTAAAACGGGTGGGCAACTGGCGGCCCCCATCAACCCTCAACGTGGCCCTCAGGTAAATTTTTACGAAAACATGACAAAATCTGCCATTAAATCATAAAAACCAGAAATATGTCCATAATAATATTTAATCGCTGGTATATGTTAAGTTTAATTTGAAACATAATTGATTGTAATTGTTTTTTTATACTACTATTTGGCCCTCTGGCAGTGAGAATTAAATGAATGTGGCCCTTGCTGTGACCAAAGTTGCCTCTCCCTGCATTAAAATTAGGTCGACAATAAAGGCAGGGTTTGTCATTTCCTCCACTTTTTAAGATTTTGGTTGAAATTGTCTTTAGGTCCTGACAGAAACTAATAACTCATGTTCTCTGAAAAAGGAATGAAGAAAATCCATCATCTGTATCAGTTGTAAGTCTGTAAAAACTATGACCAATGTCTGCCATGAGGTACCAATCTGATGAACCAATCACACGCCTCCCTGTCTCCCTGCTCGCTCTCTACCCCTTTGTTCTCTAGCCCACACTCAAAGAGCGTCACCGATGACGGAGTTTATACTGTGAGTTTACTTGAATGAGACATGAGATGACGTAACAACGACGACAATGACAGAGATGAGCTGAGTCCACTTCTGGAGCAACAGCGCTGGTGCATGTAAGTGAGGGGGCGTGGCTTTAGAGTGAGCAAAGGGGGGGGGGGGTGCAGACGGAGCACTGAGGGAATGCTACTTTCAAAATCATGCTAGTTTTTGAAGATTACCAACGATGCCTTTAAAGTACACATCATTAGTGGGGATAGACGGAGTTAGAAGAATTAAACTCAGTTTTGGTGTGTGTCCACAAACGTCAGGCCACCCCTGCGTAAGTCTGCAAAAAGAAGTCTGGACACGCCCCTGATGGATGAAGTTTTTGGGGGCGTGGCTTTTGAGTGAGCACAGGGGGGGTGCAGACGTGGCACTGAGGGAATGCTACTTTCAAAATCATGCTAGTTTTAGAACATTACCGACCCTGCCTTCAATTGCTGCAGGTGATTTAGAGTCACCTAACGAGCTTGTCTTTGGACTGTGGGAGGAAGCCAGAGAGAACTTCAGATTTTTGCACTTCCACATTGGATTTAATTTGTCTTAATTTCTGTCTAGTTATTGATTCATCGCTTTTCTTATCCTGCTTCACTTACAACCATACACCAGAGAATACAAAGAAAAAAATGAACTGTCCTCTAGAGAAAGATTCTGCCCTTTGTTAAATGGCAAACGTCTTGTCAAACCTTTTCGAGGTAAAAAGTGAATTAAGGCTCCTCTAATTATCAGATTAAATCAGTCCCTGTGACAGACGCTAAGAAGACTCAGCTAAAGGTTTCTCATGTGTGTCGAATTCGAGGCGTCAGTAAAAGCTTGAACCAATTTCATGAGAAGTTCAACGCTCCTCAGAGTTACTCTCAGTTTTTATTTGGAATGAATTCTCGGGGACGTCTCTGTGTTTTTATTTCTTGAACTAAGAGCTCACAGTTGAGAGAGGAATCACTTTTAAAACACGCCGCTCTGTACACTCCAGCAGAAAATGTTTCCCTCTGCAGGAACCCAGCTGTTACAAGGACATTGTTCTAGAAAATTCAGAAAAGCAATACAAAAGCCGTAATTAGCATAACATTTAAATGCGGTGCAGGTCCGTAGCTGAGCCGTCGCTGCCATGCAGAGACTCATCACTTCAGGAAACACTTCCCTCTCATCACTCATTGACCGTTAACTTTAGCTGTGCCTGCTCTTTTTCGACCCGGGGCGACACTGGTCAGCAGGTGTCACTGACTGTTGCTATGGAAACACTGATCAGCAGGTGTCACATACAGCGTAACCATGGAGACTTGGCTCTTATTTCAGAGATGTTTCAGAGTTATTCTGGGGCAAGGTTAGACGTTAAATAAATCAGAGTTTATTTCTGTGTAAGGCGGCAGAATGTACTTTTTCTGCTGTCTCCATTCAAAGTTGTGCACCTCCACCAGGAGAGTATAACAGCTGACTTTATGAAAGAAGTTTATGTGGAGATTGGGTCTGAGAAATGTTTAACTCTAATCAGAGTTTCTAAAAAAGTAGAAGCTTTGTCACAAAAGCAATTAGATTTCCTAA